TTCTTTCACTTAGTATTATGGCTATGAGATTCAGATTGTTTGAAGTGTAGTTTTTAAATGTTATAAATAGTATTTCATTGAGTAAAGAACAATTCATTTATTAATTCTTCTTGTTAGACATATGAGTGTTTCTAGTTTTTTGCTAATATACATAAAGTTGTTATGAACATTCTTGTACAAAACTGTTTGTGAATATATGCGCTCATTTCCCTTGGGTATATAGATAGTCGTGAAATTGCCAGGTGATACATTAGGCCTTTGTTAAACTTTATTAGAAATAGCCAAAGAATTTTCCAAAGTGAGTGTACCACTCACTGGCAATGTGCGAGGCTTCTGGTTTTCTTCCCATCCTCTCTGCTTATAATTCTCAATATATTTTAAATTTAAATACTCTGGTAGAAATGTGATGGCATCTCATTATGGCTTTAATTTGCATTTCCTAAATGACAAAATTGGTCACCTTTACCTTCCTCATGCTTGTTGGCCTTTTGGAGATCATCTTTTGTAAAATGCCCATTTTATTTATTTATTTATTTTTTTATTGAATAGTAACTGTGTACATTAATGCACTTCTGGGGTACAGTGTGGGGTTTTCACAAATAATCCAAAACACTTCCATCAAACTGGTTAACATAGCCTTCATGTAATTTTCTTAGTTATTGTGTTAAAACATTCATATTCTACTCATAGAAAGATTCACTAGTACCCTTGTAAGATGAACCACAGAAGTGAAAATGCCCATTTTAAATCTTTTCCCCATTTTTCTATTTGGTTTTATATATTTTTTGCTATTTATTTGTAGAAGTTCTTTATATATTCTGGATCTGAGCCTTTAGCTGTTTGTGTGTCTATATATTTATGTGTTATACCTAATATCATATAAAAATTTCATTTATAGGTATATACATATACATGCAAATACATACATGTGCACATACAGAGAGTGCCAAAAAATGTATACATTTTTTGTATACAATGGTCACCCCTGGTGGCATAAGGCAGGAGGACAGTATAGAGGAATACCAGGTAGATGGGTGTAAGTTATTTTCTGTTTTCTAATTTTTTGTTGCATAGTTATTTTATAGGTGTTTATTATATAATAAATGGATGAATGAATAAATAAAAACCAAAACTTTGCATGGGTTGATAATATATATCATCATAGGCAGGGATAATAATTCAATCCTGTGCATCTAAGGTCCAGTGAAGTATATCTGAAATTGTATGATGAAATAATCAAAAATTATTTTTAATGCTCTACCAACTAAAAATTTAATTGTCTTCTCTGAGTTTTGTTGGAAGAAAAGAAATAAAGCTTTTAACTTCTAAAATGATTTTCTGTGAAGTCATTGAGTTCATTTGCTTTTTAAACACTAACACAAGACTTTGAATTGTCCTCTTTGGTGCTCCAGATATTTTTTGGAACATTTTAAGCAAAATTCAAAATGGGTGAAAGCTATTATTTATTTATTTATTTATTTATTTATTTTTTGGGTAAAGTGAATGAAGTGGACTTAAGAAAAAGAAAATAGAAAGGATTACTCCAAATACTCCCTCAAACAGGTGAGGGAAATTGAAGGTTTTGAAATTGACTTCCTACAGACTATCCCTGCCCACATATCCCTTGGAAATTTTTCATGTACAGCCAGGGGTACACATATCCCAGTTTAAAGACTATTAGTTTGAAATATATTGAGTTACTGAATTTGAAGGCTCAGCTGTATATATAAATAGAAATTCTTGGCAATCCATTGGAAATGCACTTCTTGAATAAGGGTAAATTACTTAATTTCTTAAGCTGTTTCCTTCTGAAGAATAGGAATATCAATGCTAGCCTTATCTACTCACATAGCTACTATACTTGTGGAGAAAAAGTCATTGAGATGACTTTATTAGGAAAAGCTTGAAAGTAAAAACAGGTTACTGGGTGCTAGTGTCTTGATATCCTGCTGCCTTGAACTCGTGATACCCGTCTGGACATGCTTGGTGGTTTTCTTGGGTCCTTTCCATCCTTCATGGGTATCTCAAACTTACATCTTATCCTGCCATATCTTTATATGACTAATAATTTATATTTAATTAATATTATATTAAATAATTAATATTTATATTATTAGTCATATAAAGGTAATAGTTGAGATTACCCATGGTAAATGAGTAAAGAAAATAGGAAAAATAACTTTCTTTCTTCCCCAATTCCCTTATTCTATTTCATTAATGATACCCTTGTTAGGTTTCTTATATATCCTTTCAAAAACATTGTATACATTTTTATGTACATACTTTACACAAATGGTTCGTAATATGGAAGTCTTATTTTTCACCTAATATATATTAGGAAGTTTTTCTCATTAAAAAATTACTGCATCCTGAACTATAGATACACTATCATTTAAATAGTCACCTATGAATGTGGCACATTTAATTTGTTTCAGGTTTTTCCTATTATGATCAGTGATACAACAAATATTGTTATGAATATATGTTTGCAGACAGTATCGGCATCTTTATATGATAAATTCTGAACAGTGGAACTGGTCAGAATTATACAGTTTGATAAGTTATTGCTCATTTACTCTCCCGTAAAAGCAAATAAATGGGTGCTTATTTCCCAACACCCTTACCACAGGGTACTACCCAATGTAAATTTATATCCATTTATTAGGTAAAAATTGGCAACTTATTGTTTTGGTTTAGATTTTATTAATTTTGTAAAGTTGACTGTCCTTTCATATGTTTTTAATAAAGTGTTCTATTTCTATATCGGAAACAATGTATTCCTAGCATCATTAAAAAATGAAGTGTTCTGGCTATTTGAAAAAGTAGAGTATGATCATGACAGGCTAAAGAAAGATCCATAATGTTTCTTTCAGCTTTGCTGATTTTATGTCATACAATTTCACCCCAGTTTGTATGTGTCATGTCATGTCATTCACTTATTCATTAAAAAGGTAATTATTGTTTATAGAACACTGATAGACTCTGCCCTTAAAAAGGTAAAATTTTTTAGATGAGGAAGTATGATTGGGTTTCAATTTGTGGGGTTTTTCTACTAAGAAATTAAATTTAAATCTTAGTATTTGGCCAGGGCTTCTCCATGAGTGTTTATTTTTCAAGTTTTTCCAAATAAAATGAATAATCTTGAATATTTGTTGGTTAGATAAGTGGAAATTTATTAACCAAAAGGCCTGATCTCTACCTGTGGTAGTCTCAAGTATCAAACTATTATTGTTGCCTTCTTGGTATCTGCTGCTTCATAGTTAAGCATCTGACCCCTTGGCTGCAGCCAGTATAGGTAGTTCAGGGGTTAGTGTTCTGATGATGAGATGACATATAAATCTATTGTCTTCCCTAGCTAGTCTACCCCATTTTTGTTTGGTTGGTTCATTTATAATTTGTAGAAGGCTTATGGCATGTAGCCATGGGCCATTTATTTATTGGGTCATCCAAAAATCTATTGCAATTTCTCCTTCAGTCGCTAGTAAGCAAGAAGAGAGTGATAGAGTAAGTTATTGGAGGAATTTGTTAGATAATAGGGAAAGCCTGGACTCTATTATCACCACCAAGTTCAGGCTTGATATCACAAGTGAGTATAGGAAGCAAGGACTTAAATATTTCCGAATAGTAGATTCTAGATCCTTTGCTCTTGTCTACAATCTCTGTAGAATGAGAAATAAGGTTATTTCTTTGAATTCAAAGGTACTAAGAGTGTCAGTTGCTAAGCTCTTGGTTGTATGTATATGTAAACCAGGCATTTGAAAGATCCCTGGAGGTGCAGATTCACTCAACCTAGGCCATCTTTGCTTTTCATGGTAGTACAGGATGATAAAAATGATAGTACAGGCTGAAATTATAAAGATGATGATCTTAATAATGAGAAAACTTATGATCTATGGCTGTTAATTTTTTTTTGCCAAAATATTAACAGGGAGTGTAACCAATATGAGGGATAATAAGATGCTATAAAATTGTTAAGCATACTGACCTTCACAAAACAGGGTGACTAGTAGAACCACAGGGGATTAATTGCATAATCATCTTCATTTTTAGTTAGTACCATTCCATTCTTAATGTTTGTCTATTTAACCATGACTTCCCAAATCCTCAACAGTATATACAGATTGCTACCGTTAAAATACTGTTTCCTAGTTTTCTATGTGATGCTTAACACTGCAATACATCTACATACCAGATTAATATAGAATCACTCCATAGCTGTGTTCACACCAGAACTTCTCATTTTAATCTAAATGTGACTCAAGCTTCTTGTCCAAATTTTCTGTAACAGTCTTGAATTTAGAGCAAAAATATTGAAGACATTCCTAGTTAAGGCAGTAGCCATTTGACCCTACATTCATGTACTTTTCAGCACATTAAATGGGATATTATATTTGGGAAAATACAGTTAATATGAAATGGTCAATTTTGCTATAGTATAGTCATATCTGGGATAAGAAAAGTACACTGAGTCAGTTATAACCAGCCATATTATATGTAATATCTTCCAGACAGATAAGGGCTTTTGAACTAAATATCTATATTCTTAGACATAGCACTTGACTAATCAACTGAATATAGATTTTTTTTACCTAGACATTTTGATGTTGTGCAGACTTACCTACAAGTCAAACCCGTTAGAAACTTCTTTTGCTCTTTCAGCCACCCTATCAGTTTTCTAAGAACAGCATTATAAGGGGTCTTTAGGTCTCAGGAGATTTTTCTGGGTAGTGTTCTTTGCACAAGCAGACTGCATAGTTCTTTTAAGCCTGAAGACCCTCCCAGTCTTTAAATATTATAAATGATATTATGCAGGAGATGTGAGCCATATCAGTCCAGGGGAACTGTGCTCCAATGGACATGAGAAGTTTTGATATTTATTCAACATTATAATTTTTACATGTGACTATTACTGAATTTGGGAGAATATATTACTAAAAGATGAAGGACTCTTTTCAGTTATCTAAGCTCTTTATAATACAAAAAATTCTTTGTTAATACAGGGCAATACACTTTCTACAGTAAGACCAACCAATGTATTAGAAATGATGAAAGAATGGAAAAATAACCCAGAAAGTGATGAGGAAAATACAACCAATGAGAAAAATGGTCAGTCCATTCAAGGAAGGTTGACAAGTTACCAACTCAATATCAATAACACTTTCAATCAAGAAGAGGGAAAACAGGTAAGAAGAACCAGCAAAACAAGTAGGAAGAACAATTGTTTCATTTCTCCAATACCCTCACAACGCTTGGGGTATTTTTTGCAACTCTGATTTTTTTGTTAGTTTGTAATAAAGAACCTGTACTACATAGCAAGTAAAGTTCTTCCTACTTTATGGACTATTATAGACTATCATAATTTAACAATGTGGCTGGCCTACATGTTTATTTTAAGATAAGTCATTACGTAGATCAGGGATCTGCACACTTTTTCTATAAGAAACAAATAGTAAATATTATGTCTTATAGGCCATAATAGACTCTGTCACAGCTACCTAACTCTGATGCTATTAGCATGAAAACACCCATAGACAATAAATGAATGAGTGTGGCTATATTCCAACTAAACGTTGATTTTTTTGTTTGTTTGTTTTGTTTTTTGTTTTTTGAGACAGTCTCATTATGTAGCCCTCTATATGATGCCCCTGTGGCATCAGCTCACAGCAACCTCAAACTCTTGGGCTTAAGCCAATTCTCTTGCCTCAGCCTCCCAAATAGCTGGGACTACAGGCACCCACCACAACACTTGGCTATTTTTTTGTTGTTGTTACAGTTGTCATTGTTGTTTAGTTGGTCCAGGCGGGGCTCGAACCCACCAACTTTGGTGTATGTGTCTGGCGCCGTACCCACTGTGTACCAGTGCTTAGCCTAATCTTTTTTTTTTTTTTTTAACAAAAAAGATGGTATAACAGATTTGGTCCATGGGTCAAAGTTAATAATTTTTATGCTTTACTAAGTCATAGAACTTGGAACAGGTCTATGTATTACTTAGAAAATAGTTGTTACAAAAAAATATTTCTAAAAGAAAATAGTTGTTACATTATCCAATTATTTGTCTTTATTTTATAACTAAAATTTTTATATGGATTTATCATTTAATCTTATTAGTTGTGAATACAGTTTTTTAATTAATAGATTTACCATATTTTGCCATGTATACTTTTTTGCCCATATTTTTGAGGGAAAAATAAGGATGCACATTATATGTGCACATTGTATGGCTCGGGAGTGGGGGAGCCCAGTGGGGCTTGTGGGGCTGCTGTACCCTCCTGCCTGACCCCACCAGGCACATGGAGTTCTAGTCCAGAAGGATCTGGAATCCTTCTGGAGGCTGAAGTAGCCTCCCCTGGGTACTGCAATCAGGGGAGAGGGCAGTGGCAAGCTAATGAGGTAGACTATGGCCTCATGGAGCAAGGGCTAGGGCCCGGCTACACGGAGGGGACTGGGAGCCCTGCTCAGGCTCTAGGGACCCATCTGGCTGCTCACTGACTGTGTGGCCTCAGAAGCTCCTGCCCTGCAGCCACACATGTGGCCATCTTGGCCAAAGCCCCCAACATGGCAGGGAGGGAAGGGCTCCTGGGAGAGAAGGAAGGGGCAGACTTCACAGAATGGGCAGCTATTAGGAAGGTGGTATGATCTGCATGTTTACTAGGGGAACTTTAGCCCTGTGGAGATGTCTCTCTTAGCCAAGAGCTGGCCACTTTCTTGAGGGGCATTACCCTAAAAGTTAGAGCCAAAAATGAGGTTGCATATTAAACATGGGAATACAATATACATGGCAAAATAGGGTAGTAACATTTTGATGAATTCTAGATTGTGTTCTAGAATTAACTGGATATCCTGACAAAGTTTACTTGCCCCTGGCCCCCACTTTCTTTCCGTTTCTGTGTTTGCAGAAAATTTTTCTGTATATATTCTCCTTGAACTTTAATGAACATCTTTTAGCTCTTGCTTAATAACTGAGCATCCTGCCCAGGGACTCTCACCTCAGGGCAGCCCAGACTTCTTGTGAGGAGTTGCTGCCTTCTGATTCTCTGATGCTTGGAGACAGGGAGAGTGTGGAAAGAGACTGCCAGGGTAGACCCTGGGCCAGACCCAGGGAGATGCAGCATTCCCAGCCCACATTTCTCAGGCCAGGAGTCCTGTCAGAGACTTGCTGAAAAGGACCGATAGAGTGATCTATTGGTTGATTTTGATTTACTGTTTGGGAACTTCTGTTACTTGATAGCAAATGCCTAAATAATAAGCTTAATGTAATGATTTAGATATTTTAAAATAATCATAATGTAACCTTAATGAGCTTATTGAATTCCCTCCTCCTTCTTGAGTCTGTTAACAACTCCTGCAACTCATGCTTAGCAGCTGTATTTTATATTCTCTTTAAAAATAATACCTTAAAGTTTCCATTTCTTTTTTGAACACAGTTTAAAGATTTTTCTGTTAGCTACCTTGGCACTTTATGTACACCTGTACTCACACATACACATGTACACACATACTGACATTCATATACATACATTACATATATGTATATGCATGCATTAACACTCACATGTATACAAATACTTATACCCACGGGGAGGTACACACTTCCTTGCAGTCTTGGATTTTGTCTTTATTACTGAGCATGACATAAAATATCCTTGTGAGCCAAACGTCCTTTATCTCCTTTTCCATTGCTGGGTCACATCTTTCCCTCTCTGCCTTATTCATTCTCCCCTGCAAGTCACAAGTACTGAGACTTATTATGCTATTCTCAGCTACCTCCACCTAGGGCACAGAAGATTTGGAATTTGGATTGTTTATAGATGCTAGAACAATAACCAGTGGATTGAAATTTTTTTTTTCTTGAATGGTAACTATGTACATTAATGCACTTCTGGGGTATAGTATGGGGTTTTCACACACAATCCGAAACACTTCCATCAAACTGGTTAACATAGCCTTCGTGTCATTTTCGTAGTTATTATTTTAAAACATTCACATTCTGCTCTTAGAAAGATTCACTTGTACCCCTGTAAGATAAACCTTAGAAGTAATCCCTCTAATTCCCCTCCCTCCACCTATTCCCTCCTCCCCTCTCCCTGCCCCCTTCCAGTATTCTTAGGCTGTTATTAGGTTATAGCTTACATATAAAAGGTATAAATTAGTTTCATAATAGGAGTGTGTACATTGGATACTTTTTCTTCCATTCTTGTGATACTTTGCTAAGAAGAACATTTTCCAGCTCCATCCATATGAACATGAAGGGCGTAAAGTCTCCATCTTTCTTTATGGCTGCATAGTATTCCATGCTGTACATATACCACAGTTTGTTGATCCATTCGTGGATCGATGGGCACTTGGGCTTCTTCCATGACCTGGCAATTATGAATTGGGCTGAAATAAA